GGAAAGAGAGGTTGCTGCTGCAAGCCAAGATTCTCTGGATACCCCATCATAAGATTTAGATTTTGCAAGGCTTGACCTGAAGCTCCTTTAACTAAATTATCAATCTGCCATAAAAAATGGCGAAAATATAATATAAGAAAATTCGAGGTAGGTTGATCCAACTATATCACAAAACTGAGGAGTTCATGTACCACAGATATTATGATTGCTCTTCCGGGAATTCGATCTGGGAAAACATTCAAAAAGCAGTAATTTGAACCGCGAACATTCCGAGTATGAGGCACTGCTCCCTTATCTAGTAGTTTGACAAATTCTTCACCCTAGGAGCAGAGAAAACCATGTATGACACTAATAACAAAATTATAAAGAGAAGATATGCAAACAGCCGTCATTTCATTGGTGAAATAAAGGACTAGAACAGCACAAAATTGTAGTCTTTTTCTGTGAAAGATACTAAGATTGTCTCACCAATAGATCTTCATGGCTTCCACAGGAAGATTACAGAAAACAGCCTCTATGCTTCCAATTTTACAATGTAATGTCATCCCAAGATATCCACATAGGATAATAAGATATATATCTCACCAATATACCTTCATAGTTCGCACATGAGTACAGAAAACAGCTCTGCTCCAAACTTCACCAAAAAACTACATATAGGATGATCACTATTTGAAAACAGTAGTTTTTTTGGTTCACAGTAATGCCTTGCAATGGAAATGGCAGAACCACTCATTTGCAAGCAGAAAGATAGCAATTGCTTAACGTAGGAGAAACAAAACCAGCACAACTAACACACATATGATATAAAGCAAAAAAAAAAAAACACACGCGCAGACAAAAACACAAAAAATTGTGTAGATTGGTCAAGATTGGCCTAAATCCACAAGGCGAGAAGGCACAATATAATTTCACTATCAGAATATGAAAAAGAATAAATTTTGAAAAGCTATAAACTTGATCAAATCCTCTTCTTGCAAAACTCATGAGACGTGGAGAATGTCGTAAAAGAGTACTTAAATGATCAAGATGGTGAGACCATCTATTAGAAAAAGGAGTACGGCCAACACTTTCCAATGAATGCAATTTTTCATTGTGAAGTGCAATTTTATAAGAAATCCAGGTCAGTATAGAGGCAATGACATACTGCTAAAAACTGTTTCGCACTACTAGAGAATTAATCACTCGCAGAAATTGATCATGAAAATCAGCAAGAACTGTTTAAATTTAAATTTTCTTCCATACGAAGAAAGATTGAGTGAAACCTAAATGTAAAAATTTTAACTACCTTGGATATTATCCTCAACAGTAGAAAAATAGAGGATGGTTTTATTTATAAATTTAGAACCAAGTAATTAAAAGAGAAATACCATAGGAAGTGATATCAATTAAAAAACTTATAGACAGAGAATTATATAAAAGATAATTGACCAATTATGCTATAATAAATAGGTGATAAAATTCGATGTAAAAAATAGTTATATTCGAAAGGCAAAATCATAAGGTAGCGTGATATAGCAGCAGCAACAACAACAACAAAGCTTTAATCCCACTACGTGGGGTTGGCTACATGAATCTTTGTTCTCCATTGAGTCCTATTTAGTGTCATAATTTTATTTAATTCTATAAAATTAAGATCATCTTTTATACAATAAGCCCAAGTCTTCCTAGAGTAATGTGATATAAGATGGAAAAAAAATACAGATCAAAGGAAAAATAATTAGGAGTTCTGCAAAAAGATTTTAAAAATAAAGCCAGCACATCATATTGGTCTAAAATTAAATAAATGGAGAATAAATATGTATCCAAATAATTAGGATAAGGCTAATAAGGTGATTCCTTTCAATTTGTCTTGGTGTTATCTGGGGATGAATTGACTCTGAACTTTGAATGGTGGTGATATGTACTATTAGAATACGAAATAGCTGATGGGTTCCTCTATTTTTTTGAGCATTATGGACCTTAGGTGGGGAGGTAGTTTGGATGATCACTGTAATTATGATAAATATGGCAAAGAGAGAATTTCTGCGTGGTGCCACTGAAGTGTTAAAAAAAAAAGAATAATAAGCAAGCATCCGAAAAGAAGAATCATCATTTTATCTCTTTCAATTTATGCGTGACCTCAGTCATATTATTTTATAGTATTCTTTATGAGTTTTAATAATAAGAGTGAATTACCCAAATTGTAGGCAGTTTTATGTTGGTAGTTGAATTTAACAACCCATTGTGCGTTGCACGGCAGGCTCCTAACTACAACAAATCAAGCAATGCCATTCCAAAATGATCATAAATCACAGTAATGCAAATTGATGCACTTTAAGAAATTTATTGTGGCCTCTGAAAATTCAATGCCCTCGGACTCTCTATGTTATTGAGAGCTTTATGTTTGGTATTCTGAGTCAAATTTTCAGAAGAAATTGAATTGTAGATAAAATATACCCAAAGATGCCCTCAATTTGTCAGGACTTTTTGATCTAGGGTTATTGGTTTCTCATAGGAGCAAACCCCATGGTTAATTAGCCCGTCTGATAAAAAAAAAGCACCTTTGATAAAGACTAGTCATTAAGCATTGAATATTCAAATATAGTAGCAAAAATCATAGGATTTAAGATCAATCATTTTTATCACATTGAGCTTAAAGCAGATGGTGGGGAAATGATGTTGAACCCAATCAAGATCCCATAATTTTCTCATCTAGGATGTCTTGATCCCTGCTTTACTTAGAGAAAATAATTGATTTAACCCGACTAAAGGATCCTTGTCAATAACTATGGGTTGCATCGTCTAAGGGACCCTTGTAGATCTGGAATGTTTGTCTAAAGGGATAAATTTAAAACAGCATTATCTAACTAAAGACTTTATGCCAATAAAATGTACTTATATAGTTCACAACTCAAGGGGTATAAAGAGGTTGGAGAATATATGGGTTGTGGCCATGATCGCAATATAATGATGTCAATGACGGCTGATATCGGAGTTAACCCAAACTGCAACGGAAAGAAATTATTATTGCTAAATTTAGGGAACTACAACAACAGTGTTCTTAGAGCAAAAATAAAAAGACAACTACACACAACACCTTAGGGTGAGAATGAAGGTGGTGGGTAGCGTTGGACAATAGGTAGGGTTTAGGTTGGAAATTGTGGTTTCAGCAGAAGGGTGTGGGAAGGGTTTTGACAAAAACTAAAAGGCAGGTAGGGGATGGCAGCAGTAGCAGGAGGGATATAAAAGAGATGGTGGCGGTAGCAAGAGGAATGTAAATGGGATGGCGGCGGAAGGTTGGATTGCATGGGGGAGTTTATGCAGCAGGTGGGGAGTAAGAGTGGGTTACAACGGGGAAGGATGTAGAGGGGTTTACGACAACAGGTGGGGAGGTAGAGGCGGTTAGGACAGCATGTTGGGCGACAGATAGGTTTCAGCAAGGATGGGCAGGAGCTGGGTGGAGGCGGAAAGGATTAGATGAAAACAACAAGAGGGGTGTTTCTAGTGGTCTGCAGCAAGGTAATGCGACGATGACCAGAGAGGGAAGGTTGTGGAGGATGAGAAAGTCAAGGATAATCACCACTTCGGAGTGAGATACAGCCGGAGGATCACTCGTCCTTGGATAAAACTCTAAGAGGGAAAATTGGGAACGTCGATGACTATTCTGGCATAAAATACAACAAAAATAAACCCTAAAAAAAGAAAAGAGCATATTATAATAATAGTGAGTAGGATGGGGAGACCTCTCCCCTTGGGCAGCAGCCCTAACTGAAGCCTAGGGTCAATCACATGCTAAACAAGCTCAACACCTTTCCAATTAAACCAATCGGTTCAGCCTCCCCAGGTAAGCCCTACGTCAGTCTCTTAGGGTTGGGAGAGCCACTCTGGCGAGGTTGGGAGAGCTTCAACCTCATTTGTTAATGCTTCTGTTGTCACGTTAAAAACAACGTAGATGTGATCTCCAGGAGTTAAAGGACTTCGACTGCGGTTCGAGAAGCACTTGGATCCCATTGTCGACCGCATTGTCCCCCAAAGCATTTGAGAGTTTTTTCTTTCCACTTGCAAACAAACCTCCATTTTGTTGGATACCCTACTAAACTGAACCGAGATTCCATGCCAAATGAATTATGCTAAATTCTCTAAAAATAACCCAAGGTTGGTTCAACCTGATCTAAGGTAATGGTATTTTGAATCTCTTGGGATGGTGGGGGCATGGTGGTAAGGTATTGATTGTGATGTCTTGAGATACTCACTAATGTGACTGTCTCGTGTATGGAATAAATGTCTAAGTCATATCATCTTTTATTATCTCCAAAACTGATCCCATTAACGCTTCTTTGCTAGCAATGACACCTGTGATCTCAGACTCCATAGAAGGTAGAAGGAAGATGTGCTTACCATCCTTGGTAAAGAAGTAGGTGTTCCTGCGCCCATCGTTTTGAGTCTAACGATCGAGTTGATAGAAATTCATGGGCACCAAGTCACACCACACCTGATCCTGCAGCTAGCTTGCGATTGAAACTTCAACAGACACCTATCAATGTTGACCCTGTTCTCCTTCTTCAGTCGCATCAGAGAATACAACTGGGAATGTCAATGAGTAATGAGGCCCAATTTTTCCATCATCAGCATAGATGTCATGTTCTTGTTGCTCCCTCCATCGATGATGAAACTACATATATTTCTGTTCACAGTACAATGGGTGTAAAATATGTTGTGACGAACATTTAGAGTCTATAAGACCCGTCGAAACACAAGCATCTCGCCTTCATCTAGTGGAATATGGTACACCTCACCCTATTCTTCAGCTCGACTCCTCTGACAACGGGAGGTGATGTTCTCAAATCCATGGCATCAAAAGCACTTTCGAGCTGGGATTGTAGTATGTGAGATTATAGTGGGTTGTGTTGCTCTTGTCGGGCTTTTCCTCACTCTGAACGGCTCTCTTCTTATTCGAACCAGTTTTCTCAACCCCCTTAGGTGTGCTCCTATTGATCTCTCCCATTATAGATAGCTGTCTGAATGGTAGAGGTTGCCTACTCTATTTCTGCTGTCTCTCAACTTTCAATGCCAAGGTCTAAAAATCTCCCATTGAACAATAAGGTTGTAATTCAACAACATTACTGATAGCAGGCTTCAAAACTCCCATATATCGAGCTATGGAATGTTAGTCTGGCTCGATCAACTCACACTTCATCTGCAACTGATCGAATTGCATTGTGAACTCCTCTGATGATAGGTCTCTCTATTAGGGAGAGCCTTAGGAACATATCTTGGCGATAATGAAAGGTTGATATCTTCCCCTCATATCCTTCCTCATCTTCTCCCACCTAATAAT